GACATTATGAAGATTGGTCCATGTGATCGAGAGGTAAAAACCACTTTGAATTCACTGGTAATAAATACTCATGCACATAAAAGGATGGAAATAAATCTAAGTAAAGTTTAAGGGTCTTTTACCTAAGTGAAATTCTAAGGAGTCCAGTGGTATGGGGCATACAGACATATTTTTTCTAAGGTAACATATAAGTTATTGTACCTGGCCTCTCTCATCTGCAAGAAATATGTATAATGTTTAACAGGCATATTTGGATTCTGGAGATAGCACATTCCTCACTTGGGTGTGTTACTCAGACTAATTTACCATGTGACTCAGAAAGATTCCAGCTTTGCGTGTGTCTGGAACAGAATAAGGCTCTTTAACATGTCCAGGCTATTTGCACTTGGACCATATGATCCAGCAGACCTGATGGAACTTGGGGTGTCAATGGCAGATAGAAAAGCTGTCTGGAGCTTTTAGATGGCACGTATTTTTGAATCACAGACAGAACTTTAGGATTTTTGGAATAAGTGCCTACCATTATCTGCAGACATCTATTCTCCCTTGAAAAGATTGTTTTTGCTCTGCTTTTTGGTCTTAGTGGGATCTGAGTATTTGAAAATGGGACACCAAATTGCCATGCAACATAATCTAGTTACCCATCACGATTTGGGTGTTATCTAACCTATCAAGTCATAAAGAAAGACATGCACAGCAGCACTCTATTATGAAATGGATATGATATATATATGATAAGTCCTAAGCAGGTCCTGAAGGTACAAGCAAGTTACAAGAAGAACTTGCCCGAATGCCTATGGTTTCTATTCCCATGAATAAACTGTCTGTGGCCTAGAATGCAGCGTCAAGGGATTTCCCTGTAAAAGGTTAACTAAGAAAGAGATGACTAGAGCTGTGTCTTACTGAGGCACCACTCAGAAGAGAACAAATCCTTTCTGGGAAGACCTTGAAAGATACTGACCAAGGGAAATCTTCACAGTGCAGAACTTTGGGAAGTACAGATACTCGTACATTTTGTTTGGAAGAAAAAAAATAGTGAGATGTGTGATTATTGACTGATATATGGGCTGTGGCCAATGCATTGCTGAACGAATGGTCAAGGATTGTAAAGAGCATGATTGAACAATTGGTAAGGAAGACTTCTGGGGAAAGTATGTTGATATATCTCTGCAAATGGACAGAGATACAAAAGAATGTTCCTCAAGGGACATTGCTCTCTATTCTAAATTAATGATGCATCTGTGGTTGTACAAGGCACATGTATATCATGTTAGGGATAATTATGTCCTGGTTAAATATATAATGCATTTGTGGCTGTATGTGAGATAGTTATAACATGTTAAGCATTATTATTGTTTTCATTTGGAAGTTAATCACGATGTAAGGCGATATGTATATGTCAAGTTGAGATGTTTTGACTTGGACTTGAGATAGCTATTCTTGGTTGTCAACTTGACTACATCTGGAATTAACTAAAACTCAAAACTTGAGGAGGGTACATCAATGTAAATCTTTCTCATAAATCCTGTGTGTGTGTGTGTGTGTGTGTGTGTGTGTGTGTATGAGAGAGAGGGAGAGAGAGAGGGGGAGAGAGACAGAGAGAGAAAGAGAGAAAGAGAGATTCATTCTAGAAGTTTTATTACTCTAGACAATCCTGCCTAATACAGGGGGTAGCCTGCACCTAAAAGATGATTAAATTATGGGTTTCCCAAGTAGGTAGGAACCTAGACACATATAGGTTTGCTAGTGAGTTCATGGAAAACATTTGATTAGGTGCTGTGTGCTTTGGATAAAGAATAATAGATAGTTATTTAGTAATTCAATCTCCACTGTGTGCATTAAATGATTACACAATTCACATTGCCTATTGCTGTGATTCTCAGGATTTCTACATGTCTGAAATTATTTAATCAATTCAATTGCATAATAACTTGTCTTGAGAAACTACAATTTATTTTAGCCTCTAGATTGTTGTATTTATAACTATTCAAATTTACCCCCTCAACTTTGGCATCAGAAACATCATTTCATAAAATGTATTATTAGGCATATTTGGGGGTTTGGCCTGGTGCTGCTATGTTTTCATATGCTAAATTCTGTGCCCCAAGATCTGGTTGTCCTAAAAGGAGTGATTTCCTATGTATAATAGCCTTAGTTATGTAAATCTCAATCCATTTCAAATGTAAAGTTAACTGGTAAATAAAAGGCTAGAGCCTGTGATTGGGCAGTATAGAGAGAAAGGCCAGCATTGAGGATGGAGTGAGGGGAATTAGCAGAGACCAGAGGAAGGAGAAAGTATGGAGAGGAGGACAAGATTGCCATGAAAAGAGATGGACCAAGAGCATGTGGCCAGGAAAAACAGCACATAATAAGGTAATACAACTAGGATGTAATAGGAATAGCTCAAAACATGCCCAATCTAGGCTTATTGCTTGTAAATGAAGTAACAAGACTACAATGTAGAATTCATTTTACAGCTGCATTAGTCAGTATTCTCTAGAGTAACAGAAATTACAAATAGAATCTTTCTACAAACACACACATACATATACACACATAGAAATATAAATGCATACGTAAGTATATATATTGTTGAAATGTATATGTGTTGGAATATATATTATATATTGGAGTGACTTACAAGCTGCAGTGTATCTAATCTAACAATGGCTGGCTGTGAACAGAAGGTCCAAGAATCCAGTAGTTGTTCAGTCCACAATGCTGGATATCTGATCTGGTTTTTAGTGTATTTCAGTATATGCTGACATCTCATAGTAGTAGGCTGTAATGCCAATGAAGGACTGGATGTGCTAGCAAAGCAAGGGCAAGAAGGCAAGGAGCAAAACCTTTCTTCTTCTGTGTACTCTAAGGCTTCCAGCAGAAGGTATAGCCCAGATTAATGGTATATCTTCCTACTTCAAGGTCTGAATCAAAGGCATGTGTCTTCCTACCTCAGAGGTCTGAACTAGAAGTAGAGTCACCCAGTGAAAATGAAGCAGAAAATTCTTCATGGGTATGCCCTTTATTTTTGGGTTAGAGCTTCAGATGTAGACAAGTTGACAACTAAGAATAGCCATCACACTAGGACAGGGAAGATATAGCCTCTCAAATTCCTCCTGCATATAATCCACGCTGTCTCAGGTTCCCTTCTGCTTGATAGAATGTAGCAGCTCAAGTTGAAAGAAATATTGCAAATGCATGCATACTCACAAAAGAGTATAAAAGTCCTAAGGTTATATAATAGGAATTCTATAATCCAAAAATTATACATTAGAAGTTCTATAATAAGAAAATTAAGTTTGACATAATAAAAAAATCAATATTGTTAGCAGGTAAAACACTAAATAAACATACTGAGAAGATTAGAAAATTTCTGGAATGCTAAACAAATATACAAGGAAAGCTATATTATAGACCAGACTAAAATTGAGACTAAATTAACAGAAGAAAATTCAAGAAGAAAATTCTAAAACCTTTAAGAGAGGTACAAGTAGACGGGTTGTGTGTGTGTGTGTGTGTGTGTGTGTGTGTATGGGTGTGTGTCTGTGTGTGTTATCTTATTTGAATGAGTGCTTTGGCTTCATGCATATGTGTAACATGCAAATTCTTAATGCATGTAGAGTCCAAAAGAAGACATTGGATCTCCTGGGAGTTACACAGGGTTACTGAGCCTGCCTGTGGGTGCTGGGAATCAAACCTGAGTCTTCTGGAAGAATACAAAGTGCTCTTAACTGATGAGTCATTATTCCAGCATGAAAAAGAAATAATATTCTAATAATTATTTTATTGAAGTGATCCTAATTCAGTGTTGTCTGAAAGTTTTCACCTTAGTGTGTTATTTTAAAGACTTTTTAAGTTAAAAGGGTCTTTATAAGGTTCATGTGGCAAGTATACAATTTGAATAATTATAGAATAAGATATATAACCCAAATCAAGATTATTTTCCCTGATTTTATAATAATTTTTCTCATATTTTTATTGTGTTAAAAACAAATTCTTAAATTAAAACACATTTTGATTCTATTCTTCTGCTCTCTCAAGTCCTTTCAAATTCTCCCCCCTTCCTAACCAGACAATTTTAAGTTCTTTTTCACAAAACAAACAAAAAGCTAATGCAAAAGAAAACAAATAAAACAAAAAACAAAACAAAAATCCAGCACCACAGTAATCTTGATTTGGGTTATATATTTTATTCTACAATCATTCAAATTGTGTACTTGCCACTTATAAACCACTAAATCCAAAACAAAAACCCAACAAACTGTAACCCAAACAAAGTATACAGAAAAATCACCACCAACAAAAAAAAAACAAACCAAACTTGGGAGTCCATTATTGTTTGGTCAGTTACTGCTGAACATGAGACCTGTATAGAGTGGTGGATATACCCAGTGCTGGAAAAAACTATTTTTCCCTTTCTCAGCAGGTATAAATGGCAACTTAGTTGCTACCCTTTTCCCTAGTGGCTAGGTTTTCATTCATTCATTAATTCACTTTTTTTCAAAATATGATAAAATAAAACAAATACTATCACATCAAAGAAGGACAAGACAAACTAACAAGAAAATGAGACCAAGATAAGGCACATGAATCATAAACCCATTTGTTTGTACACTAAGTAATCTCATGGAAACACTAAACTGGAAACCATTCTTTGTCTGCAAAGGATCTGTGGCAGATATGTGCAGGCCCTCAGCATGCTGCTTCAGTCTCTGTGAGTTCATTTGAGTTTTGCTCATGCTAATTCAGAAGGTCTTGGCAGGTGGTGGTGTCAGCACTCAAGAGGCAGAGACAGGTTTATTTCTGTGAGTTTGAGGCCAGCCTGGTCTCCAAAGAGAGTTCCAGGATAGCTATGATTACTCAGAGAAACCCTGTATCCAAAAAAAAAAAAAAGTCCTTGCTTTTATGGTGTTCCTTGTCTTTTCTGCCTCTTACACTCTGACTTCTCTTCTGCAAGGTTTCCTGAGCTGTGAGGAAGGAATTTGATCGAGACATTCAACTCAGGACTGAGTGTTCCCAGGTTTCTCACTGTGCAATGTCTGTGAGTCTCTATATTTGTTCCCATCTTGCAGGAGGATGCTCTTCTGATGATGGCTGTACAACACACTGATCTATAAGAATAGCAAAACATGATTCAGAGTCATTTTACCACTATATCTCCCCCATTTTTAAGAGCCGAATTATTTGGCTTTATCCTAGGTTCCTTGGCTATCTAGACACAGACTAGTTACACAACCAGTGTCCAGTATGGGTTTCATCTCATGTAGTAGGCCTTAAGTCAAATCAATTATTGGTTGATTATTCAGACAAGCTTTGTGCCACAATTGATATAACATATCATGCAAGCAATGCACTATTGTAAAGGGTTTGAAGTTAGTGTGGTATATACATTTAACTCTTTGTAGTGTACTGAATGCCTTACTATACCAAAGATTTTAGAATATAGGGGTGAAGACTATATATTGGGGAATTTCTTTGAATTCATGGGCATACAAAAAGACTTTCTGAACAGAACATCATAAACACAGGCAGTAAGATCAACAATTACAAAATGAGAAAATTTGAACCTTTTTCACTGTGAAGGATAATTTTACCTGGACAAAGTGGAAGCCTATAGAATGGGAAATTTTTTTTTCTGACTATACATCAGACAGAGAACTAATATTCAAAATTTATAAGACTCTAGATATCCAAAAACAAATAGTCTAATCAAAAATTTTCTCTATATAGAGAATTCTCAATGGAGGAAACTTAAAAATGGCAGAGAAACAAAGAAATGTTCAACATCCTGTCATCATGTAAATGCAAATCAAAACTGCTTTAAGATTGCATCTTTCATCTGTAGAATGGCAAGATCAATAGCACAAGTGGCAGCTCATGCTGATGAGGATGGGGACTAAGAAGAACACTCATCCATTTCAGGTGGGAGGGCAAACCCACACTGTCGTTATGGAAACAAGTGTGGCCATAAAAGATAGGATTCATTTTATCCCCAAATCCAGCTATCCTACTCTTCGACATATACCCAAAGGGTGTTTCATCTTACCACAGAGACACTTGCTCAGATATGATCATTACTACTTTATTCATAAAAGCCAAAATTGGAAACAATATAAATGTCCCTCAACTAAAGAATATAAAAAGAAAATGTGGTACATATAAGCAATGGAGTATTACTCAGCTATTTAAAAAATGACGTCATGAAATTTTCAGGTAACTGGAAAGAATTAAAAAAAATCATCATCAATGTGTTAACCCAGACCCAGAAAGACAAATATGGCATATATTAACTTATATGTGGGAATTAACTGTTAGGATAATGTTAATCATGCTACAATCCATAGAACCAGAGAAAGTATGAATAGAGTAAGGGACTGGGGAGCAGATAGATTTTGTTAAAAGGGGAATAAAATAGAAAGCTTTGGATGGAATGATTAAATGAATTGGAGATTGGGAGGGGAGATAGGTTAGTGGGATAGAATATGTGGAGAGACAACTAAAATTAAGGGGAATTTGAGGGGTAGTATGAAATGTTAATACACTAGAAGCTTCCTAAGGCATATACATATATGAAGGTGATTTAAATGAAATCATTAAATAACAGAAGAGACAGAGCCCCAACTGCTCATCTCTTGTCACCAAGTCAAGCTTCCAGTACCAGGTTTGAATTATATCTCATTGAGTTGTTGGCCAAAAGGGTTCAAAGGAAATCCCTAACAACCCAGGCTGGTGACAAGACTGTAGGTTTTTCTCTGTAATCTCACATCAAGGCCCAATTGTTGAAAACAAAAGTCAATGAATATGGAGAATTTGAACTTGTGCCTGAATCATTCTCCTCACTGTAAGAGAGAAAATTTGCTATTGCCTATACTCACAACTTATTTATTCCCACTGCTGTTTGTGGGCCCAGAGCATAAATAAAAGGACTGCTTACTTATACTACTGATAATGACATGTTATTATTGTTTGATGCTTGATCTGTAGACCAGGCTGGTCTGGGATGCACTATATAATCAGGCTTTACCTCAAGCCTGCTTCAATTAATTTGGCAGAGCCTACGAAGTACTAGGAATACATACATGAGCTGCCATGCCTGGCTTGGAAGTTATTTTTTATGTTGGTAGCACCAGTATTTTTCCTTATAAATGTTGTTTCATAAACACACATTAATAAGTGTGTGTGTGTGTGTGTGTGTGTGTAACCTATTCTATTCTGTTACCTTTGATTTTTACCATAGAATCTATCTTCCTATCATTTTATGGTGTACTTTTTCTCTGGACTTGTTATTTCATGGGCAAGTAAATAATATTTTACTGGACATTGTTTTTCTTCTCATCTACTAAAGGAATAGTTCTGGATTCAGGATCTAAGTTATACAATAAGAGAGAAAGAAGAGAAGAAGAGATATGAATAAGCATACAATCCTTAGAAAAATTATTATATCATGACTAAGTAAAAACATTTTGTAATGAATAGAAAAGTGAGTCATAAATAGACTACAAGATACTGCAAATGATTAAGTACCACATCAATTATTGTGTAAAATTAGCATCTAGAAAAGATTAAATAATTCAGACAAACCTACATAGAAAGGAATGGATATTAGAAAGTATTATTATGAGACTTAGAAAGAATTAATCTAAGCTATATATTTGGAAGCAAAGGAGCCTATGTGGTGAGTGGCCCCCAACTGTGTTTGTAGCAGGAAGTGCCAAGACAACACTGTGACCTGGCCCTAGCACTCAGCAAGTAAGTAAATAGGTGGAGGAGTTGTGGGAGAGAAAGAAGCTATCAAGTAGATGGTAGAAAGATGGAAGACTAGAGAAGCCCAGTGGTTTGTGACCTATGAACTCAAGTGAAACTGGAGACACAAAGGCGATTGCTGTTCCTGTTCGTTGGGAAATGGCAAATTACATTGTCCATCAATAGAACTTGTAACAAATTCAAGTGCCCATGGCCTATACCTTCTTTCTTTGAGAAACTGATCATTATGTGAGTTACTGTGACTCCCAGAGCTTTCAAACTGACATTAAAAATGAGTGTATGTGGTGGCCTGCAGACAGGTACCCTCCAACCTCTCCAATTCATCTTCCCAGCCCAGGAAGAAGAGCAATACCTGCAAAATGGAGATCTGCAACTGACAGGAGATGTCCTGCTGTGTTCCCTTCTCCTAATTCTCCAATCTGCTAATCTCTCTAGTTGGATGTGGTGGCAGTTTAACCATTGAGTACAGATGACTTTACGTTGAATTACAGTTTTACTGCTCTGGTATAACTTTGGCCAGAGATATATTTCCTTCGGAATCTGTTAAAGTTAATATTTAGAATGGTGTTTTCTTGGGCTGACTAAGTGGTGGTTGTTCTGCTTAGCTCTGCTGTCATGTTCCGCGCCAGAGGCCACAGAGCGCCACAGCTAGAAATGGCCAGAGGCCACATGTGTCCCACAGCTAAAAATGGCCAGCCAGAAACACCAGCCCTGGCACCCACAAGATGCTAGTGTGGGAGGATGGCTTTACCAGGAGAGTTAAATAAATAAGCCTCTGTTGTGGAGCAGTTACTGATTTAAGTATAAAGTTACAATATAGGGATTATTTGCTTTTAGGAAAGATTTATAAACAGATTTGTCTGAATCATGTGGGGATTTTCATCTGGGGTTCAGAACTAAGACAGAGAAATTGTCACTGACTCTAGAGTAGAGAGTACAGTGTATAAGTAGAAACTCTCTACATAGAGAGCCAGGTAGATGGCATAAATAAAAAACTGTTCTAGGCAGAGAGTCGAACAGAAAGATAGTGTAAATCATGTGTATTCAGATGATATCAAGTTATATTGCCTCACAGGAGACTCAGGTTCTGTCTAATGTGAGCTCCATGGGAATTCTGGGTTTATTTTCTGCTTGGCAAAACAGGAAAGGTCTAAGAATAGGCACATACAGTACTTGAGTTACTTCTCTTGTTTTAGAATGATTTTTATTTTCAAAATGGGTGTGATTTTCAGATTTGTGGTTATATTTTTACTCTAGGAAAGAGGTCAAAATAAAGGTTTTTCTGGTTACTGGCCCAAGGACACAGTGTTTTGGGAAAAAGCTTTTGTATGTGTGTTTTCAGAAGAGCTGATTAAGGTATTTCTACTTCCCAGAATTATATGGATTAGACGTGACAGAGGCAGGCCACCAGAAGACTAGATTCCAGAGATTCAAACAGAAAATTATCTCATTTCTAAAATTTCTTTTGAGAATTGTATATTGCAGAATACACAGTCTTGGTTTATCTACTCATCAAGCAAGTTGAGCAGACCTGCTCAAACCTCTGATGTCCTGGAATTTCAGCTGGATACAATGAAGACATAGAGGTCAGAGGCTTATCAATTTACCCTTCTCCTCTTCTAATATCTCAATGCCCATATTCAGCTTGAAGAAGTTAATGAAGACTCAGCATCCCAATTCCCTGGGCTTGGGGACTGAGGTGGTTAAGACTGAGCTGTTTTTCTAGGGGAAAGTAATGGTTTTGTTGGAACATGGAGGAATAGCTAGAATTGACTATATAGCTATAACATATTTGTAGAAATCTGTATAATTGTTACTAAGCTGAAGTTATAATTGCTTAGATGGTACAAAACTTATTTTGACTTCAAATTCAAGGGTTTTATTGGTATATTTTCTTCTATTAATTCAAAATTGGTGGGTACAGGGTTTAGACTCAGTCCTTCTTTAACTTTTTTCTTTTTAAACTGATCTGAGATGGTTAGCCTGTGAGTTAAGAACCTAATAACAAATTCATGAGTCTGAGTTTATTGTTATAGTGTTTTCTAGATTTTAATTAAAAGTAGCTGAGAGAAATTATTGGACAACAGTCCAGATTGCTTTACATAGATAGTTGGTTTTCAAAAATGTCAGAAGTCCACAGAATTGACATTACAAACATTTCTGTATTAATGTTCATTTAATTAGAGACCTGTCTGCTCCTGACAGCTTCCCTGTCTTGGATTCCAAGAAGAAATTGAGCATCTTTGGAGTTACTTCAGTTGTGTTGAGATAGCCATTAAACAAGAATTGCCTCTTTTCATCTACAGACAAAATGCTGTCCAGAAAAAGGACACACTTGCTGAATATTCGACTGATTATATCTGCCAAGACATAGTGGTCAGCCCTTAAAAATTCTGCATTGCTAGGTCTGTCAGATGATCCTGGGCCAGAAGGCTGAAGACTGATGCTTCAATGTTTTGAAGTAAGGGACTATGCCAGGTGATCAGTGGTCTATATTAATTGGCTAAGTTTTGGAAGCTATGCTTTGTACTTCCGATATCTTCAGTCAATTCAGTCATTCTGGATTTCTGATGAGGTTGAAGATTTATAGTCTCATAGCAAACCCAGGCTATTTATTTTGAGAGAACAGATTTGAGAGGATGGTTTTCAGCTGACATTCATTCTAAAGCCAAGACACAAGCCAGGTTCAGAAGTATAGTCTTTTAAGTTAAGATAGATGACAATAGTCTTTTTATTGACAATATATTGGAGTGAGTATTATGTCTATCTTTTACCTTACTGTTACAAATTGGTATAGTTGTGCTCTAATTATATTTTTGAGAGAAAGTTTTTATTATTATTATTACAAGAAGGGTGCTATGTAGCTAGATATTTTACAATAAAGTTGGTAATGTGGGAGGAGTTGAGAGGAGAGAAGAAAGGAAGGAGAAGGAGGAGGAGGAGCTAAGGGCAGAGATGATGGAGCCATGGAGAACCACACACATATCAAGAGCAGTCCTGGGTAACAACTTACATCATAAAGTTAGATATTGTGTGAGGAGCTTCTTATTTGAGCATTACCAAACATGTAAAGCCTTTGGATAATCTTTAAGCATTAGAGTCTCGTTTCTATAGGGTACCTTGTGGATTGTGGGATGGTCTGGGTTTAGCCCAGCCTTGTGGAGACAACTTGGTAGATTGGCACAATTAGAGGTATATCCCACTATATCTAACCTTACGATATAAGTTGTTACCCAGGACTGCTCTCGATGTGTGTGTGGTTCTCCATGGCTCCTACATCTCTACATCTCTACCCCTTAGCTCCTCCTCCTCCTTCTCCTTCCTTTCTTCACTCCTCTCAACTCCTCCCACATTACCAAGTTTATTGTAAAATCTCCGGTTACAGGAATCATTAAGTTGTACAAATATTTGAAGATACACAGAGGCTCTAGCATGTTGCCCACCCACAATGGGAACCACTAATGATGAGCAAGTATAGACTGAGGATGTAGAAAAGAAAGAGTAATGAAATGGTTTGATCACAATGGAGAGAGGCAGCACTTAAGACCTGAGGGTGGAGAGGAACATCCTGATGTAAGTATCCTTCAATGCCGTCAGAGGCTATGGTGAAGTCCCAGCTATACTGCCACTTAGGGCCATGTATGATTCTATGACCATGCAGCAGCAAGGGTCTTTGTTAATATCTGTCACTCATATTACCATCAAAGGCCATTGAAGGTTCTCTCTACCCTTCACTAGCTGTAATGATCACAAGAGCTAGCCCTTCAACTTGCCTGTTGCAGCACCCAGGAAAACAAGCCCTGCACCTTGTTTTGTCAGCACAGTAGAGCTTGCTTTGATGGCAGGGATAAAGGTGAGTTGGCCTTAAGGGGATGAATGCAGGGCAGCTTAGCCAACACCCATTATGTTCCCCCAAATTGCATCTAGTCACCTGTAGCAGGTGTGAGAGATGGCCTAGGGTCATGAGAGAGAGCTGTTCCTACAACTCACTGGGTGTAACACTTGCAAGAACAGGCCCTGCACCTTGTGTGGTCAGCACAGTAGAGAAGTCCCTGGTAATGAAGGTACAGGTATACTTGCCCTGAGGGTAGGAGAGTGGGAGAGTTGACCCTGTCACTTGCCAGTTGCAGGATTGTATGAGCTAGTCACAGGAGTGCCAGAGAGCTTTCCTTGGTGGTAAGGTTGAGGGGAATAGCTGATGGTCTAACCAACCCAGCTACCATGGAAACCCACATCCATAGCTTTGAGCTGGCCAACTGTAACATCTACCAATCTATGAACTGCTGGAGCTATAAAGCGACAGGTTTTGCAGATCCAAAGCTTCAGGGTCTCCATGACCAAAGGCAACAATGGGATATCCAAGGCTAGTCCTGATAAGGATCCAATATTGACAATGTAGCAGAAGCCAGAGCCCTCAAAAGGTCATAGTATGTGAAGGTACCATGAAGTCCTGAGAAGATTGTATATTCTTCTGTTTTAGAGTAAAATGTTCTGGAGATATTTTTAAATCCATTTGATTCATTCCTTCTTTTAGTTCCACTGTGTCTGTTTAGTTTGTTTTCGTGGTCTGTCCATTGGTGAGAGTGGGATATTGAAATATCCTATTATTATTGTGTGAGGTTCAATGTGCACTTTGAGTTTTGGTAACATTTGGTTTAAAAATATGAGTGCCCTTGCATTTGGGGCATAGCTGTTCAGAATTGAGAGTTCATCTTGGTGGATTTTTCCATTGATGAATATGTAGTGTCTTTCCCATATTTTTTGATAACTTTTGATTGAAAGTCTAATTTATTGGAATTAGAATGGCTACTCCAGCTTGTTTCTTGGGACCATTTGCTTGGAAAATTTTTTTCCAGCCTGTTACTTTGAGATAGCATCTGTCTTCATCAGTGAGGTGCATATCCCGTATGCAGTAAAATGCTGTATCCTGTTTACATATCCAGTCTGTTAGCCTTTTTATTGGTGAATTGAATCTATTGATGTTGAGAGATTTTAGAAACCAAAGATTGTTGCTTCCTGCTATTTTTGTTGTTAGAGGTGGAATTATGTTTGTTGTTTCTCTTTTTTTGGGCTTGTGGAAAGATTAATTTCTTGCTTTTTCCTGGTTGTAGTTTCCTTCCTTGTGTTGGGCTTTTCCTTCTATTATTGTCTGTAGGGCTGGATTAGTGGAAAAATACTGTTTAAATTTGGTTTTGTCTTGGAATTCCTTGGATTCTCCATCTATGGTAATTGAAACTTTTGCTGGATATAGTAGCCTGGAGTGGCATTTGTGTTCTCTTAGGGTATGTATGACATTTGCCCAAGATCATCTGGCTTTTAGAGTTTCTATTGAGTCTGGTGTAATTCTGATAGGTCTGCTTTTATATGTTATTTGATCTTTTTCCCTTACAGCTTCCAATATTCTTACTTGATTCTATGCATTTGGTGTTTTAATTATTACGTAACAGGGAAGAATTTCTTTTCTTGTCCTATCTGTCTGGTGTTCTATAGGCTTCTTGTTTGTTTATGGGCATCTCTTTCTTTAGATTAGGGAAGGTTTTTTTCCCATAATTTTGCTGAAGATGTTTTCTGGCCCTTTGTGTTGGGAATCTTCACTCTCTTCTATATCTATTATTCTTAGGTTCCATCTTTTCATTATATCCTGGATTTCTTGAATGTTTCGAGTAAGAGCTGTTTTCTTTTTGTATTTTCCTTGACTGTTGTATCAATGTCTTCTATGTTATCTTCTACATCTGAGATTCTCTCTTCTATCTCTTGTATTCTGTTGGTGATCCTTGCATCTGTGACTCCTGCTCTCTTTCCTAGGTTTTCCATCTCCAGGATTGTCTCCCTTTGTGTTTTCTTTAATGTTTCTATTTCCATTTTTAGATCCTGGAGGTTTTTTTTCAATTCCTTCACATGTTTGATTGTGTTACACCAGGTATTTGGGCTAGGTTTTGGGTCTTATCTGTGATCCTGAATGTGGAGATTGAGCTGTAACTAGGATGTAGGCTAAGTTGGTGAGGATCCAGAGCAGAGGGTTTGTTCCTGACACAGGTAAAAACCTGGAGGAGCAAATTCCTTAAAATCTTATTTTCCAAGCCATCAATCACCTTTTTATGATAAAAAATATTAAAAAATCAGAATAATAAGATATTTCTTATACACAGTAATATCCTTAATACCCAGCATTTATCAACTATTTTAAATTCAGAAATGAGAAATATAAACTTGCTTTCCTTGATATACTTTTAGTATAAAAGTGAGATATAAAGTTGGAAAGGACATAAATATCTATCCTAGTTAGGGTTACTATTGCTGTGATGAAACATCATGACCAAAAAAGCAAGTTAGAGACAGAAGAGTTTATTAGGTTTCTACTTCCACATCATGATTCATCACTGAAGAAAGTCAGGGCAGGAAATAAAATAGAGCAGAAACTAGTGCAGAGGCCATGGAGGGGTGCTGCTTACTAGCTTGCTCCTCATAGTTTGCTCAGCCTGCTTTCTTATAGAATTCAGAACCAGGGTGGCCAGTTCTGCAATGGCCAGTTCAGTTGTGGCCAGGGTGGTCACATCTGCAATGGGCTGCACCCTCTCACATCAGTAACTAATTTAGAAAATGTCCAACAGCTAAATTGTATGGAGGCATTTGTTCAATGTAGGTCCCCTCCTTTCACACGATCCTAGCTCGTGTTATGTTGAAATAAACAATCTTGAAAAGTATTATATGTGAGAGATGACCATGTCCATGGAGAACTAACAGAATAAATTGCAAGACTTTGAATCTGTAACATTTAGCAAGGATTCCAAACACAAATTAACTTACAATACAAAGAAATTATCTTAACAGTAACAGCCACCAACATTTCACTTAAATAGTACATATCATTTGTGATACTGAACAAGCACAAATAACCAAGAGATTAGATCAGCAGAAATTACAGAAAAAAATATGGGCTTCCCTAAATAGAAACACTTTAATAAACATATAAGGGATAACAGCCTTCCCACAGTTCTCTACAGCTAAAAATCACAATCAACTAGAAAAGTAATCATTGAAGATGCACAAGCTGAAAGGACACCTTGCATGCATAAGTTGGGAGAACTCAAATCATCAAAATAACTGTACTACTGAAAGTGATGTAAGAGTTGGTACAATTTCCATGACATTCTATCCAGAACTAGCAGAAGAACCCAAGATATGTTTGGAACAGTGAAACCTCATTACTTGTCAGAGGCATTGTACCTCTTGACTTCAAAATATACCATGAAGGAGTAGTTTATTACAACAGCACGGCATTTACAAGACACAGCCTCATAGACAAGCAGAACAATAGAGACTGTGATAAACTCATACATCTACAGAGAACTGATTTTCAATAAAAGTGCTAAGGATACACTCAGAGATACACTCAGAATGGACAGTGGTTTTTTTGGAAATACTGTTGGAGAAATAGGATAACCTACAAAAAAAAATTATCAATAACAACAAAGAGGCCATCTTTAGAAAAGAAGAAAGTATTCAAAAATTCCATATCTGACAGTTCGATATTTGAAGATATATAAGGAACTTAAGAACTCAAGAAAAACAAATTACTTGATTTTATGGGTAATAAACCTAAATTCTATGAAGGGAAGCATGAAAAGTGGCTAATATAAAAAAAAAAAACTTAACATCAGTAATCATCAGGGAAATACAAGTAAAAACTACCAGAAGATACCAGCTTACCTCAGAAGAATAGTCACTATCAAAGAAACCAAAGAAAAGAATTGTATGTATGTGAAAAAGAAAACCTTTGCATCCTGTAGGTGAAATGTAAATCAGTATGGTCATTATGGAAGACAGTAGGAAGGCTTCTAACAAGGAAAAACCAGAAGTGCTATATAATCAGGCTGTCCCCTAAGAGTGTGTGTGTGTGTGTGTGATATGATATGATATACACACAGAAATATGGAAAAGAAATAAATATATTGAATGTGTTTGAGGAGACATTGGTATTCTCATGTTCTCTGTGGCACTATTCACAATAAATGAGAAATGAAATAATGTCTATCTATAACTGATGAATAGATTAAGAAATTGTAATGCACACACCTGTGTGAATATTATTTAGCCATAAAAAGGAAGTTCTGGCATTTTCAACCACATGGGTAGATCTAGGTATTCATCAATGTTAAGTAAAATAATCTGTGAACATAAGACAGGTCCAATGTAATCTTGTCTAGATAAGGAACCTAAAAAAATCATGTCATAGAGTTGAGAGTAGAATGGTAGTTATTAGAGGCTGGGTTAGTAGAGGGTAGGAGGGATAAGTAGAGGTTGATCAACAAGACTAATTTATAGATAGAGAGAGACTTCTTTGTGCTAAAGCACAGAAGGGTAATTATCAATAATGATAATGAGCTGCATTTTTTAAAACTTAGAGGAAGAGATTTCAAAATTTTATACATAAAGAGATGAAAAGTGACTTATGAACAGATATGTTTAATCTGTTATCAAAATACCTGGTACTCCAGAAATATCTATACATTTTATGTATCAGTTTAAATAATTCTAGTTTTAATTTCACAACTTAAAGGCATTAATACTGATAAAACCTCAAATTCAGTAAATTCAAATGAATTTACTGCTTCCTAGAATAAGATTATATATTAAAACAAATATTTCTCTCAGCTTATTTCTAAAACGATAACTCATGATTTAATTCGAAATGATAAATCATAAAGACTATTGACATAAAAATATTACATACTTCCAATTATATCTGTCTGGTGGTGTTGGTTTATTAAGTTCTCAGTCTCAGTTGATGGTGATGTGGGCATCAGAGTTGATATTGTGTTAGACATCTGTGTTGATGATATTTCAGGCAAGTTCTCTGACCTAGAGATACCATGGCAGTTACAGAAATAAACTGAATACTGACCAAATGCTTGTCATGACAGCATATTGTAAAAGCAGGCTATCAATTAAAATTGAAGACGTTCATGTATAAATCCTTTTGAACAGTTGACCAATGTATTAGAACTTGCCTAATGGTTTTAATTTAACATAATGAGAGCAATAGTTTACAATGTATCTCCCTGGAGGCCATATCTTCTCATATCAAAATTCATCCTCTGCTCCACAAACCCTAGATACATACATGTAGATATTTAATTTACATACTCCATAGGATATAAAGTAGACATTTAAAAATTATAATGTTCAAATGAGACTTTTAATCCTCTCTGCAAAGGTTGTTCTTCCTCTATTTTTACACATATTTGTACAAGATTTCTTTAATGCTAAAACCCTTACCATGAGCAAGATAAGCCTTTCCTCTTTCTCCACAGCTGACACTCAGGAAATCTTCCTGTTCTAAACATAACCCTAATCCTGCTCCCTTCTCTTTTCTACTCCTCCTTATAGAGAGGTATCATCTGTCATCCAGATTAGTGTAGAATTCTGTTCAAAATGCTTCTTCATTCTTTTCTTCTAAGGCATCTCTTCCCCATCTCAGTGAGAGAGACTTCTGAATTATTTATACATGAGATTCTAATGCTTCTTTGATTTACATCTTCCACGGCTTGACATGGTGCAGCACAAAAATTTCACAGTATCTTTTTAAATGTAAATATGTAGCAGTAGAATAAACCACATGCTAAAGACTGTGTCTATAGTTTCTGCTGTCACTGCCTAGTATTTCACTATTTATATTTCCCTCCTATTATATATTGTTGTCCACCAGGGGAGCTGGAAAATATTTTATTCTATTAATTCTATAAAGTTAGATTGCCAATTTACCTGAGGCTTCTAATTTTAGCCCCTTTGTTTGTTTTGTGGTTTTGGCACTCAGATACTCTTTCTACCTGTTGTCCTGACTCTATGCTATCTCCTGTGAAAATCTATTCTCAATAATGAATCTTAAACTTGGACTGAAGAAACGGCTCAGCAGTTTAGAGAATTTGGTACTTGTTCAGAGGACCCAGGTTCAGTTTCTAGCACCCATATGGAGTTTTCACAACTTCCTGTAACTTGAGTTTTGACACCCTTTCTGGTCTACACATATACCAGACACACATGTAGTATACACACACACACACACACACACACACACACACACACACACACACGGGGAAAGAGAGAGAGAGAGAGAGAGAGAGAGAGAGAGAGAGAGAGAGAGAGA